AGCATTTGCTGTTGGATTGTTGTTGTTGGGGGCAATATGCTGACTCTGTAAACCGCTTAGAGAGGGCTGAAAGCCCTATGAAGCGGTATATAAGTCTAACTGCTATTGTATGAGCTATTATCACTGAGTCTACCTTTTGGTTGTTATTTCTCTGCAGGTCTCGAGTAAAACTGGAGAGCCTTGAAGATGCTTACATATTGCGAGGGAATGACGACTCCCTCTCTGACAAGCACGGGTGTCCAGCCTACGTGAGCCCAGAAATCCTGAACACAAACGGCAGCTACTCCGGCAAAGCAGCGGATGTGTGGAGTCTAGGGGTCATGCTGTACACCATGCTCGTCGGACGCTATCCGTTTCATGACATTGAACCGAGTTCTCTCTTCAGTAAAATCCGCCGTGGGCAGTTCAGCATTCCAGAGACTTTGTCCCCCAAGGCCAAATGCCTTATCCGTAGCATCCTGCGCCGAGAGCCCACGGAGAGGCTGACCTCGCAGGAAATTCTGGACCACCCTTGGTTTTCCACAGATTTTAACATATCGAATTCGGGATATGGTGCTAAGGAAGTAACGGATCAGCTGGTGCCTGACGTTAACATGGAAGAGGATTCCGATCCATTCTTTAACTAAGCGTCAGGACTGGTGTGGGTTAATGGTCCAGAAAGGACAACGTTGAAGGGAGACCTTTCTGAAAATGCAGAATTATATCTCTGTCTCATCCTGGCTTGATAGCGGGGGAGAAAAAAAGGACCCACTTGGAGGAAGCTTTTGTTTTGATTTTATTTTCAGGCTGGAGAAGGAATGCTCAAGAACCAATGTCGCCCGTGAACGGTTAAACAGGAGGAATTGTTGCTATCAAGTTAGACTGACATCGGGGGCGGGGGGGGGAGGAGGAGGAGGAAGCAGCAGTAGCACTCTCGTCTTTATGGAGCCAAGGACACCGCACACCCGAGGTTTCCGATGCAGCCACCACTACGCCACTCCTGATTCCATTTCATTCAGAACACTTAGGATTCCCAGTGGACAGGAAAGTCTTGCATTTTGGCATCGCACTGTTAAGATATTTAACTTCAGCCATTATTCAGGGAAGGTACAATTAGCTATTATTTTGTTCCTTTGTTTCCTGTTTTCAGAATCAGATGTCGCCAGTGGGCTTTTCGCCTTCAGGAGGGGGCGGGTGGGACGCGCACAAAGGAAGATACGAGAAGCGAATGCTAAGCAAGGTTTTGGGACATGCCTCTGGATTCCGAGTTTTAAATTGACAGATTAAAGTTAACGGTTTTTTTTTTGGAGAGTAGTAACGATGTTTGGAATGTTTTATTTCTTTGGAGGGAGAAATTCTCTCTCGATCGGTTGTATTCAGACGTTCTCCTCGTCCGAACCTACAGAAGGCTCTTTGATCTAGTGAGGGCTTCTCTGCGTGACAAACAAGTGTGCTGATGGAGCAGTCCCTCTCCACTGGCCGCTGGAAGGGGATACTGTTGAAGAAATTACACAAGAAACTATACAGTAAAATAAATCTGTAGCGATGACGTTCCCCACCTTCTGTCGATAGCAGTGTCCACTGGATCAAAGAGCTTTCGGTAAGCGGAGTAGATTCAGTTGAATTACAAGCTGTTGGTTTTGGTGGGCTTGTTTTGGGATTTTTATTGCAGGGAGCCAGAAATCAGACTTTTTCACCATGCTAGCAAAAGACTCTAGAATTGTCTAGGTTTTTCTTTTTTTCCAAAGACTGTTGAAAAACTGGCTTTCACCTTGATCCCCACCGCACATCAAGTTGACCTGGAGGGGTGAGAAAAGGGTCTCCTTTGGATTTATTCAAAGAAAGAAACAAATTTGATCTTAAAGCCAGTCAAGTCTCTACATGAGCTGAATATGAACAGAAGGTGGATCTTTCTGAAGTAAGAAGCATATGCCCGCCTACTCCGGCCCCAAATACCTTGGGAAGGCAGTGACTTATGTTCTCTTGCTTTTTCATTTTTGACTTGCAGACAAGGATGCTCTCTTATTTTTCTGTTTATTCACCTGTTAATAAGCTGGACATTGCTGGGACACAGACCTGTCTCCTGAAGAGTACATTGTAATATGCACCTTTTTTTTAATTGTCAAGATTTTATTTATTGATGAATCTGTCACAGTTGTGATGAATTTAAGCCAGTACTTCAATTACGGGTTGACTTGGGGGTGACATGTTACATGCTGTAGTTAACAAACTTGTATTTCTCTTCAGGTATTCCTGTCCCTGACTGATATATTTTAATCCCCCCCACCCCAAATCCTTTTCCCCCCCCACCCCTCCTGCAATTCCACCCCTTTGTTGAAGCTTTCATGTTGATTTGGGACTGGCGAAATGATTTTTATTACTGCTTTTTATATTGCTAGATGACATTGGAGGAAACAGCGGAAAACCAACACATCTTTTTTTTCCATTTTTCCTTTTTTTGGGGCATAGCTATTTGTGTTTCCAGTACCTCAGCTGTTCTGATGTTACTGCCTGTATGCGTTTTTGTGAAGTGGTCCTGTTTTTTGGATAGGTACATGTGGAACTCCGTAGCTTGTAAATGTTACTTGAATTTTGTGCTTAATTATAGTCTGTGGCATGTGCGTACAGCTACTTGGCATTTGACGTATGAATGCTCTTCGCCTGCCCTGCGGGAAGGTTTTTTGGATCCCACTCCGCCGAGATGATGGTTCAGAGTTCCTTAATCAAGAGACAAAGATGCAGCTAACCTGCCTTGCTTCTTCTATTTTGGTATCCAAGAATATAAAAGAGTTAACGTTTTTACACTCTGAAGATGGTGCTGTGTTGAGGGACGACTTCTTCTTCTTCTGTTTGTTTTGTTTTTTTAAGCATTTATTTTATAAACTCGTAGGAAGAAAGATTGGTGATGTGCATGGTGGGATTTTACTGCCTCTGGTGCTTTTGTCTTGTATTTGGTTTAATGTTTTTGTCCTAATCTCTTCAATAAACAAAATTGTGCATATTTAACTAAACATAACTTGTGATGGCTTTTTTTTTCCACCTCCACTTCCAATCCTACACCAACCGTAGCTCATTTCAGGGGAAACATGGCCCGTTGCCTATCTTTAGATATTTATTCAGTAAATTTACATGCCATCCATCGGACTATTAAGTGACTCTGGGTGATTCACATATTGATAAAATAACATATGAAACAATTAATGTTAATGTTTAATAAATTTATATGCCACCCAATCCCGAAGGACTCCGGGCGGCTTACATAAAAACAATTTAAAAGAATACTAAAAAGTTTAAAAAGTAGAAGACAAGGCGAGTTAAAAAGACACAATATGCAGTCAACCTTAGTGGGGCTGGACCTCATTCAAGAGGTCAACAGCCCCAGGCCTGCCGGAAAAGCCAGGTCTTAATAGACTTTCGGAAGGCCGCGAGAGTGGGGAGGGTCCGGATCTCGGGGGGTAGATCGTTCCATAGGGCCGGGGCAGCTACAGAGAAGGCTCTCCCCCGAGGAGCCGCCAGATGACATTGTCTAGTGGTTAAAAGCATTAAAAACATGGAGCATAAAAAGTTAAAACGTTAAAATGAACCACAGTGGATTTAAAACAGACCCCTATATAAATAGAATATTGAGTGGGGGAATTGTCCCCTAATCTGCTAACCATCTCCAGAAGGAGACATTCCCATTGGGGTCCTATATGTTTACCCCATTTCTGTTGGAATTCTGTCTCATTGGATAATTGCTTCCTTACTAAAGCAAGATTCTTTCAGTCTAGCCCAGTGGTAGTCAACCTGGTCCCTACCGCCCACTAGTGGGCGTTCCAGCTTTCATGGTAGGCGGTAGGGGTTTTGTCCGATACTATAGCAATAGCAATAGCAGTTACTTATATACCGCTTCATAGGGCTTTCAGCCCTCTAAGCGGTTTACAGAGTCAGCATATCGCCCCCACAGTCTGGGTTCTCATTTTACCCACCTCGGAAGGATGGAAGGCTGAGTCAACCCTGAGCCGGTGAGATTTGAACCGCTGAACTGCAGATAAAAGTCAGCTGAAGTGGCTGCAGTACAGTACTCTAACCACTGTGCCACCTCGGCTCTAAAGTGCTAAAAAAGCACTTTTTTTTATTTAATTGACTTTTTAAAAAAATTTCATAGCTTTATTTAAAAAATTTCATTAGATTTTCATAAAATCACCATTACTGTGGTGGGTGGTTAGAAATTTTTACTACTAACAGAGATACAAAAGTGAGTGGTAGGTATAAAAAGGTTGACTACCCTTGATCTAGACGTACCCTGTTTCCCTGAAAATAAGACCTCCCCGGATAATAAGCCCAATCGGGCTTTTAAGCGCATGCGCTAAAATAAGCCCTCACCCAAAAATATTGCAACATAGCAGCAGCCATGAGGTGACCAAGTTCACCGCCTCCTGTACCTCAAAAATAAAAAGACCTTATTTTCGGGGAGGTCTGTTCATGGAACAACTCGCCACAGCGAAGTCATCAGAGGACAACTCACTGACCAAATTATTTAAAATGACTATAATTTTGGTCATTTGCATTTTATTTTCTCCATCCTTTGTGTCCTCCTTCCTTTATTATATTCCACCATTTCTTCAATATTGGTTTAACTCTTGTTCCTCAGCAAATTGAGCGAGTTTCCTGCGGCAAGTTGTCCTGGACCCATGGATGATAGTCCCATACATAAAATGTGTATTATGTTACATTAAAGCCAGAGAGTTTTCCTTCCATATAAAATAGTCAACCTTAAGTAAATAGCCTCACATGGGATATAAAAGTGTGACTGGAAGATGCTGTTACTAGTAGCCCTTCACACCATAGAGCCGAGGTGGCGCAGTGGTTAGAGTGCAGCACTGCAGGCTACTTTAGCTGACTGCAGTTCTGCAGTTCGGCTGTTCAAATCTCACCNTTTCCTTCCAAAATTCTTATTTTCAACCCAAACATTTTATGAAAAGCTGTATGTGCCATCTGTCCTTAATTTTTTTCAGATAAAAATTTGGAACACTATTTTTTTAAAAAAATAATTGAGTCAGTTGTTTTGTTTTATAAAATATATACCATCCTAACTTTCCCCCTGCAAAGTTCTAGTTTTTTTCAAGCTTCATGTAACTGTCAAGCTAACAAAACAGCGATATAATAAAATAAATAAATGGTTGATCAGCCACTTTCATCTGGTCTCTCATCTGACTGAATGTGTATTTTCCTAAAAATCCATATTTCTCACCTGTTTTTTTCCCCTCTCGATTAGGCCATACCTTATATTCCTTTATTTTCTTCTACCAAATATCACAGCTTTTTCCTTTCTAACTTGTCTCATGGTGCTGCCTTTGTTTTAGCCAAAAGCTACCAAGAAATGCAGAGAAAGGTGTGTTTAATTTTTATTTCTCCTCAGGTGAGTGAACGGATGTAGCTGCCGGGGTGGGTGGGTGAGGGACTTTGTGCATGTGTATGTCTCCCTCCCTCTCTCTCTGGAGGCTGGAGAGATGGTCCCATTTTTCGCCTCTTGAGGCCTCTGCGCGTCCCGTTTTTGGCCCCCAGAAGCCATGTGGGGGCTGACGGGTAAGTGGGACAATGTGAGTAGGGTAACCTCATCCCACGTGGGGTGGATTAATGGCTTTGGCAGGCTATATCCGGCTCACGGGCGGTAGTTTGAGGACCCCTGCTGTAGCTGATGGTCTCTGGATTCAGGACAATTCTGATTGTTTAAACTGGGATGTTGTCTATGCTTGTTTAAATATTCATCTTCTCGGGCATGTTTTGAGAGGAAAAAAACTAGGGTGGAAGAGACATCCAGTTTAGGTTTTAAACTTAATTGGAATGCTATATTTTCCTGATTTGTTTTACTGTGCCTGTTTGTATGCAGTAGTTATCTATTAATTATAACAAGTGGTAATTACCACCAGCTCTCTGATACTGTTTTCCAGAACAAATAGACTGACCCTGTGATTGTTTATACTGTTGGTTTGTCTTTTTTAAAATATATATAACATCTTTCATCTTGGCTGTAATTAGATGTTCTGTTCTTAATGTACATCAGACATAGTATTTAAAATCAATAAAATTAATATTTTTAAATTAAAATAATGTTTTCTGGCCTTATTTTCCATTTAAACAAGGTATATTTTATGATAAATTAAAAATATATGGATACAGGTAATAAAATTGCCATGCTGTAATTATTTTGGGTCAAGATATAAAGGAATTCTGTCAGAAACAAACACACAGACACACGTACACACACGTACAGACACACACACACGTGTTTGTCAAGCTGACAAGTTGAGCAATAACTAGAAAAGGCTTCCTCAACCTGATTTGAATAGTTTGGATTACAGCCTCTATTAGCTGATTGGAGGTGAAATTTGCTGTAGCTAGAGGGAATTATAACATTCAAGCACTAAATCTGGGAGGTTTGGATTAGAAGTTTGAAGAAAGGAAAGATGTCTATCATCTATTTAATCTGGGATAGTTTTAATCAATCTTAATATTCTTCATTGTGTAAATTTTAATTTGCAGAATTTTAATGCCTATGGTGATTGGGAAATTCTCGGCATTAAAGGCCAAAAAATTGGGGGGGGGGGTGTTACAGTGGTGGGTTTCAAAAAATGTTAGAACCTCTTCTGTAGATGTGGCCTGCTTTGTGGGAATGGCTTGCCAGTCATGTGACCAGGTGGGAGTGGCTTGCCAGCTATGTGACCAG